ACGCATGCTAAATTTTTAGATATATCGATAAGCTGGTTTAATTTACTTTTCCAATTAAGATCTTTAAAATTTAAAGATAGGACATTATGAAGACTTCCTCTATTTGCATATTGAAATACCAACAAATATTCGTTATTGGTTGTGTTTTGGGTTAGTCCATACACTTCAAGATTATTACCCACTAATCTAAATTCAATGTAATTTTTAAGCTTGTTAATTAAAATAAAATTTATAATGTTAATAGTTTATACATAATTTATTTAGATTAGATCATAAATAAATCATCTTACTTCTTTTAAAAAATTCTTTTGTGAACCAGGTAAAGTTTTAAGTGCAACTACACATGATGGTGTACGTGATTGCATATATTGACCGATAATAGTATCTGAAACTTTTCTTTTACCATCTAACCACGTTGCAGAAAATACGGAGCCAAATCCTCCTTTACCAATCATTTGAATATTAACTAAACTATTTAAAGGAATCCATTCGATTACGTCTACGTGTTTTGTAGCTTTAAGTTGAAATTTCTTAATGCAATCGTCGATATCCTTATTTCCACTTGTCCATCCTTGTATTGTCTTCTGAGGGTCGCATGTTTGGCACCAAGCTGGTGATGTGTTAGATCGGTTGCAATTTGCACATGTCCCATTATCGTCATTTCTTTTAGTATAAAACTCATCAAATACTAACATATACTCATTGTTTGCATTGTTTTGAGTTAGTCCATATATTTTATTTTTCTTTAACTGTACATAATCTGTGAACTTATTAAAATCAAATATATATTAAAGCTATATAGTGTAACAATGATAAATTATTAATATTTTAGCTTACTTCTTTTATCATAACTAGTAAACTTTGCGATCTAGTTAATATTTTAAGATCCACTTTACATGATGGTACACGTGACTGTGTATATCTACCATATACTTTTTTTGTATATCGTATTCCATCTAACCAGGTTGTTAAAACTCTATCGCTAAAGCTTTGAATAATAACTAATTTATTAAAAGGAATCCATTCGATTACATCTTCATATTTTGTAGCTTTAAGTTGAAATTTTTTAATGCAATCATCAATATCTTTATTTCCACTTGTCCATCCCTGTGTTGTCTTCTGAGGGTCGCAGGTTTGACACCAAGCTTCAGATGTGTTACTTAGGTTGCAATGTGCACATTCTCCCTTCCAATATTTTCTTTCAGAACTAATTTTATCAAATTCAGTAAATACTAAGATATAATCATTTGTGATAGTGTTTTGAGTTAATCCACAAATATTTATACGCTCTATTTGACACTCAGATAATACATGATTTTTAAACTGTAAAATATATAAAAGATGTAAGAAATTAAAGTTATAAATAATAAGTATGCTGCGGGCTTTCAAGTTTATTGTTTATCATTTATCGGACTCTACGTTTGTAAGTATAATATACTTGAAAACTAATTTAGTAGCGTATTATCATTATACGTGTTATCGTTATACGTGTCTCTAATTAGAAACAATAAACATGAAAGTACGAAGTTTCATTTTCCCTTAGAAACACACGTAAGTAGGTAACATACGTAAGTAGCATAAGCATAGTCTTACCTCTTTTAAAATGGTTACTAAATTTCGTGATTGCGTCAATATTTTGAGCTTCACTTTACATGATGGTATACGTGACTGTGTATATTCATTTATACCTTTAATATAATCATATTTAGAATTTAGATATCGCATTCCATCTAACCAGGTTGCTAAAATTTTATCGCCAACATTTTGAATATCAACTAATCTATTAAAAGGAATCCATTCGATTACATCTTCATATTTTGTAACTTTAAGTTGAAATTCTTTAATGCAATCGTCGATATCATTATTTCCACTTGTCCATCCTTGTATTGTCTTCTGAGGGTCACATGTTTGACACCAACCACGGAATGTATTATATCGCTTGCAATTTGCGCATGTTCCATATATATAATTTCTTTTAAAACCAAATTCATCAAATACCAACATATACTCTTTTGTTGTGCTGTTTTGCGTTAGTCCATATACTTTATTATTCTTTAACTGTACATAATCTATAAACTTATTAAATATACTGTATATTAAAATAATGTATATATATTGCGTCATATTAATTAATAAGTATTTTAACTTACTTCATTTAACTTATCTGATAAACTTTGTGTTCCAGTCAATATTTTAAGCTTCACTTTATATAATGGTATACGTGATTGTGTATATCTATCTTCACCACCTACATACTTTTTATATCGTATTCCATCTAACCAGGTTGCTAAAACTTTATCTCCAATAATTTGAATATTAACTAATCTATTAAAAGGAATCCATTCAATTACATTTTCGTATTTTGTAGCTTTAAGTTGAAATTCTTTAATGCAATCGTCGATATCCTTATTTCCACTTGTCCATCCTTGTATTGTCTTATGAGGGTCGCATGTTTGACACCAAGCTGGAGATGTGTTATATCGCTTGCAATTTGCACATGTTCCATTATCTTCATTTCTTTTAGAACCAAATTCATCAAATACCAACATATACTCATTTGTTGTGCTGTTTTGCGTTAGTCCATATACTTTATTATTTTTTAACTGTATATAATCTATAAACTTATTAAACATGTAAATATACTGTATATTAAAATAAAGCATGTATATTGCGGCATATTAATTAATAAGTATTTTAACTTACTTCATTTAACTTATCTGATAAACTTTGTGTTCCAGTCAATATTTTAAGCTTCACTTTATATAATGGTATACGTGATTGTGTATATCTATCTTCACCACCTACATACTTTTTATATCGTATTCCATCTAACCAGGTTGCTAAAACTTTATCGCCAATATTTTGAATATTACATAATCTATTAAAAGGAATCCACTCGATCAAATTTTCATATTTCGTAGCTTTAAGTTGAAATTCCTTAATGCACTCGTCGATATCCTTATTTCCACTTGTCCATCCTTGTGTTGTCTTCTGAGGGTCGCATGTTTGGCACCAAGCTGGTGATGTGTTATATAGCATGCAATTTGCACATTTTCCATTATCATTATTTCTTTCATTATAAAATTCATCGAATACCAGCATATACTTATTTGTGACTGTATTTTGAGTTAATCCATAGACACTTCTACGCGGGTTATACACTAACTGACTATCTAATTGCACATGATTTTTAAACTTATAAAATACGTATATAAACAATATAAGTAAGTTAATGATAAGTATAAATTAAGTATATTAATTAAGTAACGATAATAAAATGATATGAACTCACTTCTTTTAAAATATTTTGAATATCTGCTGTTCGTGTCAATATTTTAAGCTCCACTTTACATGATGGTAAACGTGACTGTGTATATTCAAATCCACTATCACATTTTACATAACGTATTCCATCTAACCAGGTTGCTAAAACTTTATCGCCAATATTTTGAATATTAACTAATCTATTAAAAGGAATCCACTCGATCACATTTTCATAAGACGTAGCTTTAAGTTGAATTTCTTTAATACAATCATCGACATCTTTATTTCCACTTGTCCATCCTTGTGTTGCCTTCTGAGGTCGCATGTTTGGCACCAAGCGTAAGATTTGTTATATAGTTTGCACTTTGCACATTCTCCAATTTCAATATCTCTTTTAGAACTAAATTTATCGACCATAATTCTAAGATGTTACAAAGAAATTAATCATCGTTTTGCAGTAACATAAATACAGTATCAATATATAACAAAAGTGTGTTGCACAAATTTTTACATCTCAGTTTAAAACTTTATCAATGCATTTAGTAAACCTGAAAACATTTTATAAAACCGTATTCTTTTATGAATATACACTAGTGTTTCAAGTCGATATAGCGTAAGTCGACTGAGTTAGTCGGTTTTTTAAAATATCGGCTTAGGCGACTATAAATATGTACTAACATAAACAAACTCATCGCATTATGAACAGGTATAAAATTCACTTGTAAAATTAAATAAATCATTAAAAATTGAGCCAATGTTGCAAGAGTGCAATTTCATTTATTTCGAATAACTCAATAAACGTAGTGATGGGACCTACTGAATTATTAATAATTAATAATTAATTATTAACAATTGGCCGAGTTATTAACTAATAACTACTTAATAATGTATGGCGCAGAAAATTGAATTATAGGTATTAGCATTATACAGACGTGCGTATGAAAAATATATTCAAAATATGCTACTATTTCATAGAATGCTTCTTAAACCATTGCTCGGGAATGTCTTTAAATCTGTGCACTAAATGTTATTCGATTAGAATAAGTGGATTTTGAAGTTATGGTCTCGAAAGACGAAAAAGTTAAATATCAAGACGCAATTTTTGATATTTTTATTAATTATTATGCCTGTGTTTTTATACTTTAATTTTTAGTAGTAAGTATGAACTTTTATGATTTAATTGCCAAGCTAGATAATCGAAAATTAACTGAATTGTTACAAATAAAATAATTTAATTGTTGCATTAAGATATGCTTGTAATCAACGAATTTGCTCTCCAAAAAAAAAAAAAAAAATTGAAAGAATTGTCGAGTTCACAAATGATGCCTGTGCTTACAATCAAATAATAAATAGAGTTACTACACTGAGAATAAAATAACCTTTATAAGTTAGATTCACATATTAAAAAATACAATTTTAACGACTAGACTGATGCAAATTTAAATCTTTTTAACGAAACATTAGACCCAAAAATTGAATTTACATTGAAATAGATATAAATTTATTCAAAAATTCTTTTATACCTATTAATTCAGGACTTACTAGTCCAAATTAAATATCTTTCAAAAAAAAAGGTACACCAATTGCCTTCATGAATAATTATGTGAAATTATACACCGAATTTTCTATAATAAGCTACATACTTTGTAGCATAACAAGAAGGTCTCAATTTACATTAGAACATTATTTATTTATTACGTTTAGAATTTAAAATGATTTTAATTTTATACATACGATTAATTAATATATAAATTTAATGATTTTTCAACAGTTTTAGAATCAAATATATCTATAAGCATTGGAATAGTTTCTTTATTATCTGTGTCAAATACATGAATATCATCTATTAAGTTTTTAGAAATTTGATTTAAATTTTCTATAAATTCATCAGCATTATCACCATTATCACCATTATCAATATAGTCCTCATTGTCTAAAATATTATCCTCTATTTTATTTAATGTTTCAGGAATTTGTGAAATTTTTTCATTTTGTTTTGAGTTTTGGTTCATATACCAAGAGATTTGCATCATTTTTCCAGCTCGTGATAGTGATAATCAGTTACATCATTCTGTATGAATATTGCCTAATAGAGACCATACCTGTTCAGAAGTTACAAATTCACTTAAATTTGGTGTTACATTTAACATTGTATGTCAGTATCATAGTGAAAATATTGTAAAACTTAAATTTTTTATAAATGATGCTGCAAATGGATCTTCTTGGTTCAAATAATTTAATCATTCATTAATAAATTTATCTTGATTATAGTCTGGATAAAAAGTACAAAATAAATCATATACAGTTTCTTGAATATACAAAAACTATATTAGATTTAGTCCTTCACCATGATGATATAAATGGAGAAATCAGATAATTAAAAAAACAGGATTAAATATTTTTTTCTAATGATTATTGATTTCTTTAATTAAAGAATCTTGAAAATTATTATTACTAAATAAAATTTTTTTAATAATTTCATAAAACCATACCCATGATGCAGTCACTTGACTGAGTGTTGTCTTTTTTGTTTCAAGAATTTTTATCACAAAATTATATGATTTTAATAATTTGTAAAATAGTTCAAATTTTGTCCAAAAATTATTATCATTGATAATATCAATTATAGTATTACTTTCTTGTGTATATGAAATTAAATAAGATATATGCATAAGTATAATAACCTAAAAATAGATATAAATATTTAGATATCAAGTTCCAATACATATATATTGTAGTACATACATATAGGTCTGATTGTATATATATACTTTTAAACTTGTTTGAATTTTTAAAATTATTTCTGTTAACTTTGTAAATGTTGTTCAATAAGTAATGTATGAATATTAAGGTTTTAACATTATATTGCCAGTCAATTCTCTTAATTTCAATAATGCAAGATTAGAATTACGAAAATGATTAATAATTATTAATATTTTCTTAATGACTGGTATAAAAAATACTGATTCAATAATTTTTTTGACTAATAAGTTGGTTTGATATGTCATATATAGAATCATTAAAACTTTATTACCAATTTCACAATTTAAATACAAATATTATAATTAATAATATAAAAATTTATATACAATAATAATAATTTACCTCATATATAAGATGTTGTACTTTCTTGAAATTAGGTCTACTATCTGAAATAAATGTTATTTATTTATTTAAACTAAGACTCATTCCAATTTCTTTATATATTACAAATATATTATCATCTGTATGACATTAATTAGAATAATTATTTATTTTTAAATTTTGACTTTTATGTATTTCATTTGTTACAATAAAATTTAGTATACTATTTTTTGATACATTAGTTCATCCATCACCAAATAATATTAGAAATATTGAATCTGATATAAAATGTTGAATACTAGACTGAACAGTTTCGTGTATATTGTCTAAAACATTAGTACTGATCTATTTGCAAGATGGAACTTTATATTCAGATTTTAATATATGAAATAATTTAATTACTTCAGGATCTTCTACAAATAATAATGATGCATTAGCTGAAATCAATACTTTGAGTAATTGATGATTAATAGATACTTTTTTTCCAGTAGATAATAATAGACTAGAATTAGTTTTTTTCAACTTGCTTGCATTTATATTACTATTTTCACTATCTGTTTGAGATGATGGATCATTTCTTTGTAAATTTTTGTTATTGACATTTTTTTAAAATACTTTTAATATTATCATGCTCATCTTGGTGAATGTCTTCACATTTTTCTAATATATGCTTAATTATTTTCAAAGGTTCTTCAGGACAGTTTTGATTACAAAAATTACATTGTACAAAATAATATGAACTATTAAATTTTACATCTTCGCTAAACTATTACCAGATCAGTTTTTTTTTCTTCCAAATTTATGTTGAGATAGCATTTGGATATTAGTAATTTAAAATTTTTCAATGAACTTGGAAGTTATTTATTGATGTTATTATTTTTACATACAATTTAACAATTACAATTTTCCATCAATTATTTCACTACCAATTATTTTATTGCCAATTATTTCACTGCCAATTATTTCACTGACAGACTATTTATCTTACATCACATCTAGTGATAATTAAATAAAATATCTATCTGTAACTAATAGAATGTTAATTTGTTACATACGTGATGTCAAGTAAATGGTGTACCAACAATTACATATCATCTGCAATTATTAAAATGATTGCATATTAATTTTTAACAATTCCCAAAATTATTAAGTATTATTAACTATTATTAACTAATTATTAATTTTTTTATTATTAACTAAAAATTCGGAAGTCCCATCACTAAATAAACGTAATATTTATTACAGCCAGAAAGTATTATAATTACAGTTTTTCTGAGTATTTAGAATATTCCATTGTCCTTACAAATGATTATAATCCTCCCATTTATGCAATGGCTCAAAGTTTTTATTAATACTATCGAGCCATTTGTTACTATTTTGTTTCATTATGTTTCAATAATTTTTTGTTGTGCCCTGGATTCAGAATTATAGAACCTTTTTGCTCAAATAAATAATCTGAATTATAATCTTTCGGAAAAACATTAAAAATAAAATTTACAAGGTTTTCTAGACCAACTGCTATTTTATTGATTAGTTTATTTCGATTTTCATTCTTTTTTCGTTATTGAGTGGAAATTTGGTTACGGCAAATAAATCAACGTATATTTTTAGAATAATGTGTTTATTGAATTTTATGCTTGAAAAATCGAAGAAAAAAAAACCACTTACTGAATCAATTATGTTAATATTTTAATAAATATTATTATCATGGTCTTAATTAGAGATGTGCCTCGTGCACGCGAGTCATGTAATAAATTTTCATTTTAGAATATGTGCTAAAAATTTCTTAATCGAATAGTTTATCTCTCACGAGGTATGATGTTATCTCGCGAGAGTCGCGCGAGGCCGTGACTGTGATAGTTTTATCGTTTCGCACTAGCGCTAGGTACATCTCTAATCCTAATCATGCTGAATTGACAATATCACATGATTTTCGAAGCATTTTGGGTTGGTCAAATCGGTTTTAGGTCAAGTTAAACTTGACCCAGGTCAAAATGACCCTTTAGGATTAGTACGGGCCGAATTATGTTGATGCCGGTTGGAGTTTTTTAATTGATTAATTTGACCCGGGTCAATATCGATATTAATTTGACCTGGGTTAAGTTTAACTTGACCTAAAAACCAATTTGACCCGTAACATTTACACGACTGATTAGTGTCTTTATATACAGTAAAACCTCCATAAATGCATGCTTAAATTTGGACCCAAATATATACATGATCTCTATAAATGCACATTTTCTTATTATTCTCTAAGTGCACGTCGTTAAAATTCGGTCTCGAGGGCGTGCACTTATGATGGTTTTACTTGTTATATTTGGTCCCGAAGGTGAACGTGTATTTGGAGAGGGTGTGTGCACTTATTATTATTACAGTGAAACCTCCATAAGCGCACCCTCTATAAGTGCACCCTCTATAATAATCATCTAGTGAATGTAAAGAAAAATAATAACTTTAATTGGTCTTCGTCTATCATAAATACTAAACGCGAAAGAAGTAAGTTTCATGACCAACACCATATGTGGACCTGTAGAATCATAACGTTCAAGTGACACTCGATTCTATTAACAGAATAAATGGCTGTTAATGATAAGGGAAAAAAAAACAAAAGTTTAAAGTAAACGGTAATAATAACGTTAAAAAAATAACCGCATTGTTACACATTGATCTTGCATTTACAAGATTGTACGTAAAACTTATCAAAAACTTGATCTTGAATGTCATAAAAAACACAAAAGTACGAGTTTTAGGCCCCCCAGGACCTTTAACAAGTACGATATTTCATAAGTCAAACAGAATTAAATAACATGATCCAAAATGTTTTAGCTAAATTAAACAAGCCAAACAATATAAAAATAGCAAAGATTTTTATTATTCGCATGCAAAAAATTTTAGTAAATTAAAGCCATTAAATACTGTAAGTAGCAAATAGAAACTTGACCACCAAAAAAGGCAACAAGTTTAGAGGAAAATTGATAAAGAGTGAACAGAGATAACAGGAAAAATGATATCGATATACGTTTTTTTTTTTTTACAAATTATGATCCACTAACGCTAACAATATCGATATTTAAAAAACTTGTACGACAATGATCAACGATTACGTTAATACGTAATACGTTCGATATAAGTTAGCCTATTAACGATAATAAAATTATTTATAAATGTCAGTAATGCAATTTTATTAAATAAATAGTTGGTATTTATAAAAATTTAAAAATTGTACAATCAAAATATAATATATAGATATAGATAAATTTATATACGGTATATATATATATATAAATATCGATGAAATTTGTTTATATGTGCATTTAAGAAAATATTATGTTACTATACGTAATAACTTATGTACTAATTATATAATCAAATTTTATAATAATAATAATAATAATAAACAAAAAAAAAAACAAATATACAGAAAAAAAAGAGCTTTCTATACACAATCACGTTAACTATAAACAATAAGGGTAATAAAGAATTAGTCACCCAACCCAAATTATTATATACTAACCCAAATTATTATATACCAACCCAAATTATTATAATAATTACATATTATTTATATATATTTTATATTTCCTCAAAATCTATTGATTTTCATTTACGGGAGTTGAAATTTCATCGGGTTTAATTAAAGTTGGAGATTTTATTTCCGGAAATTCTTCGGTAAAATCACCTTTTTCAGACCATCTTTTAAGTACTTTTTCTAAAGTTTTTAAACTAACAGGTTTTGTTAAAAATCCATCAACTCCACTTCCATAAGCAATAACTTTATCTTCTTCTCTAGCTAATCCAGTTAATGCGAAAATTAAAGATTTATTTTCTATTGGTATTGATGATTGATTTAATGTATCTGTTTGTTCATTATTTGTTGTAGATAAATTTGTCAAAGTAGGAAATAATCCTGTTGGAATCCTTGATATACCCTTTAAAGTTTCTGTTAATGATCTTTGTTTTAATTTTTGTCGTCTTTGTGTATATTCTCTCTCTATCTTTCTAATTTCTGATGTGGCAACATTACCATTCATTACTGGCATTTGAATATCTAATACAAATATAAATTAGATATATTCACAATATATATATTAAAATTTTTATTCGTTTTAAAATTTCAAAAAAACAATTTATTAACGTTAATGAAAACGAAAAAAAAAAGTTTGTTTTTTTAAACATACCCATTAATACCACATCAAATTTTCTTTCTCGATTATCTTTATGTTCTAACGCATTTCGATATTTTTCAACACCAATAGCACCATTTTCTGCTTCTTCAAAATCAATTCCTCGACTTTTTAAAAATGTTGATAAGATTTTTCTATTAACTATATTATCTTCTATTATAAGAACTCTAGGTCCACGAAGTCCAGATTGTAATTGTATGGAAGGATCTATCTCAGGGGTAGATATTGTAGGTAATGAACGTGAAGTGGATAAAGTTCGTGATTTTGGTGTTGATATAAATTTATCTAAAGTAGGAGGTGATGATGATAAAATTTGTGAAGAAACATCTAACATAGTAGTAGTAGTAGAATTAATTAAAGGATTTAATTGATTTGATAATGATTGTAAATCAATGTTTGTGGTTTCAAACGGATCAATTTTCATTGGTGGAGTATTAAGTGGTGGTGTTTGTAAAGATATAAGTGTATCATCTGATGATGTATCATCATCGTTAATAGGTGGAGTGGTAATAATTTGTGGTAAATCTTTAGATTTAATGTTTAATTTAAGATTAAAACATGATAAAATAGCATTTTCTATTTTTCGAGGGCTGATAGGTTTTGAAATAATAACAACTTTACGATATTTTTGTTTTGTATTCATCTCAATTTCATCTTGAATTTGTTCAATTATTTCTCTAAATTTACCATGTTTTTCTAATGAAGTGACAAAAATAATTGGTGAATTTATTTTATCAGGTTCTTCAGTAATTAAATTTGAATTAAACCAACACGATTTATTTTTACTTTCCGATAATAAAGATTTTAAAATTTCTAAATCTTCATTAAAAATTATCACCAAATCACCATCTAATTTACTAGGTCGTTCTTCAAGAACCACCTTTTTTACATTAAACCAATTTTTAAGAAATCGATCAGTAATTTCTTTAATTTTCCTTTTAGCACCTTTGACCACAACAGTTTTATTTTGAAATTCTTTCAATATAATTTCTCTTTCTTTCCTCTTTATCGCCTTTTTATCTCTAACGCTAGTATCATCTTCACTATCACTATCATCTTCATTAGCTTTCTCAAAGTCCAACCAAATTCTTACTCTAGTTCCAACATTAACTTCACTCTCGACATCCAATTTACCACCCATTTTTTCTACTAATAATTTGACAATACTTAAACCTAATCCAGTACCAATTTGAAGAGGATCCTCTTGAGTGAATGGATGGAAAAGGTGAGTATTAAGAAAATTTGGATCAATACCACGACCGGTATCAGTTATAGTAAAAAGAACATGTAATCGTTCTGATTCTTCGACTAGATCGGATGGGAAATTTTGGCAACAAGAATGTTCGCAAGTTTCATGTTGACAAGCAACAGTTGCAAGCGACAAGTGAATATAACCTTGTTTCGTAAACTTAAGAGCATTACTAGTAAAAATAAAAAATAAAATTAATAAATTAAATTAATTAAACATTGTTGATGTAATCGAGGTTAACTTACCCTACAATCTAATTAATAAACGAAAAAAATTGAATATAATTTTTTGTTATAAATTCGTTATAAACAACTTAAAATAAAAAACAATTCAAAAATAATTTTAAATAATTCTTACATTTATAAGCATTTGCCTGATCGCACCATCTTGTGCCATAACCCACCAACCATTTTCACGAGGTTCTATATCCATAAGAAGATCAACTTCAGGTGAACCAACTTCTCTCTTAGATTGATATGGATGTAATAATCTACAAACATGTCTTCTTCTTGCTTGTGATGGTGAACCAGTTTCATCATTAGTATTTTTATCATAAATAACTGATACCATTTGTTGTCCTACTACACATGATTCAGCGACATCTTCTAATATTTTAACCAAATCAACTTTTTCTTTTTGTTTTACTCTATCACGATGATGATGATGTTGTTGTTGATGATGATATTCTTCATCATAATAATTTCTTGAATTACTATTTAAAACTGGAACTGGTGGAGGATGCATTAAATCATAATCACGAGAATTATCCGTTTTTGAATAATCACGAGAATTATCCATTTTTGCATAATTTAAAACATTATTTATAATTGAAATTAAACCAGTTCCACAACTTTGAATTGTTTTAAGTAATTCAGTTTGAGCTTCATTTAAATGACCTTCACTCATTAATTCACAACTAGCTAAAATTCCATGTAAAGGAGTTCGTAATTCATGTGATACTGAACTAATGAAAGCACTTTTTGCTCTATCAGCTACAATAACACGTCGTTTAAGAACTTCACTTACAATATTGACACCAAAATTTCCCAAATAAACACGTTCTTCATCTTCGAATTGTCTTAAAGGATCATTTGTAAGTGCTATTAGAAAACCATAAGCATTATTTGCATTATCATGAATAGGAACGACAATACCAGAACACATATCATTAGGGAAAAGATTAGGTAATTGAGGTAAGGCATTTTGAAATATGTAACCTTGAGCATGAGTATGCATTAAATGAGTTAAGAAAGTAGTAGTTACAGGAGTTGAAATTGAATCAGTAGAAATTGAAAGACCAGCAGAAGCAAGGAATTTCAAATGTTTTGTGGGTAATTCAGGAGGAGGACTATTTAAAAGAAAATCATGAGAGAAATCATTGGATAAACGACTAGCGTAAGTAACTTGACGAGCAGATAAAGAAGGCATTTCCAATAAATATAAAGCATCAACATCTAAAGTATCTTTTATTAAAGTTACAGCTCTTTCAAAACATCTACGCATAATAGGATCACCATCTTCAGAACTACTATATTCACCATGAGCAAGTTGAGTTTCGAGACAAAATTTACTGAATTCAGCTAGACTAGATTGCATCTTATTTCTAACACCTAATCTTAATCTATCAGCCCAAAGTTCTAGTTCACGCATAACGACTTTTGCAAAATCTTTTAAAGATTCACGCATTCTTTCGCAGAAATCACGAGGTTCAGTATCGATTAGACAAAGAGTACCAACATTATGACCATCTTTTGTTCGTAAAGGAGCACCAGCATAAAAACGAATATAAGGAGGACCTATGACTTGAGGATTTTTTTTAAATCTCCAATCAAGTAATGAATCAGGAACTACAAATGGATCACCGTTTTCTTGTAAAATGGCATGACCACAAAAACTGATTTCCCGTTTTGTTTGAGAACAACCAAAACCATTTTCAGCTTTGAACCATTGATGAGTGGTATTAACAAGAGAAATTAATGTAATTGGGACTTTAAAATGTTCTTTAACAAGTCTAACTATACGTGTAAAATTTACATCTTGTGAAGTATTTAATATTTGGAATCGCCACCTGAAAAATAATAAATTAAATAAAAGTGTAAATAATTTATCAAATTTTTTAAGTTAATAGAATAAACAAATATATAAATAATATATTTACAAAGCTCTTCTACGTTCAGTCTCATTTGGAGGCATTGGAGGAGCAAAATAAGAATCAGTATCATCATAGGACTCTGAATCATCACCATCGTAATTTTCGTTATCATGAATTGGAGAAAGATCTTCTTTATTTTCTTCGATGACAGAAGGTATTGAATTTGATTTTTCACTACTAACAGTAAAAGAATCAAAAGTATCTTCACTATTTGTAGTATATTCCGAAAGAGGAGAAGTTGGTAAACTAAGTTTCCAATTTAAATCCTTCAATTTTATAGTTGATAATCTTCTCGGTTTTTTTGGAATAGAAGAAGGATTAAATTTTCCACGAGCGTAATCATATAAAAATTCTTGTAAATCATCAGATTTAATATTTTTTGAAATATCATCACCATTAGAAACCAAAGAAGTATGTTCTTTTAAACGTCGTAAGCTCAAATTTGTGGAAATTGGACGTTGAGGAATGTCTAAAGGAGCCAATTCACTATTTGTTTCAGGAGTATAAGAATGAGCGCGATTATGATGAAGTTTTTTTGCAGAACCATCCAGTAAACAATTTTTTAGTACAGGGGACACATTTAATGAATTGTCATTTAATGAACTTTCAGTAGATTGAAGGCATGTTTGGTAAAAATCATTTGAAATAGATAGAAAATCATGATCAGAATTAGATTTTTTGTCTATTCCAAAGCTACGAAACATTTCGTTTGTTGAGGTCAAATGACTAGGATCCTTATCAATAGATTTTGATTTTGGGTAATTTAATGACATAGATCTCCTAGGAGCTGGAAGCACAGTAGATTCATATTTGCTATCTATATCAAGAGCATTCCATTTTCCTATTTCATAATATGAACTCGGATTTGCAATTAGGCTTGTTATTCTTCTTTCCCTTTGCGGAGGTTCGGTCACTTTTAAAGTTGTATCAATTGATGGAATCACGTTGTTTCGTGCTAACTTTGAATTTACTAATTTTGAATTTGGTACGTTCGGGGTAAAGGTATCTGCTAATGGACTTGTAGTTAACGTAGGACTAATAATTAACATTGGATCAGGCATTGTGGTTTCACTAGGTTCGACGGGATCTTTAAGGGAAGTCATTGCTAATTGTTATGTAGTATTTAAAGAAAGTTTTTAGCAAAAGAATTCAGTAAAGGCGAAATCAAAAGTTTAAAAAGAGACTATAAGATATAAAATAAATTTATTTAACGTAAACAAGGTAAACATAAGCCACTTACTGTTACTGATTTCTAAATAGAAAAGCTTCTTCTCTTAACATAGCACTTCTTATAAGCCTGCAATCTTGTGACTGTATGTGGAAGATCAATAGTCATAGAACGTGTGGAGTATCTTTTACGGACTTGAATGAGGGTATGTTTTTTTCTCTATTAGTCTAGAAAAGTTTCATTTTAACAAGTTGGTTATAGTTAATAAAAGAATAAAGAGATTAGAAAATAAAAATTGAAGGTACTACGTATGTGCGCGCACGTACAGTATGTATATTTATGAAATTTTATTTGTTTTGTGAACTGAACTTAAACATCAAAAATTAATTAAATGTCTCCGTACGTACATTAGTCTAAAAGTTTGAATAAATGCGTGCTATTTTATTAATACTTAATACAAAGAGTAAATTTACAAAAAAAGGAAAAATCTAAAGAATGTCTTGCGTTAAAAAAATTAATTTATCGCACTCATCGGAGATTAGGTGTGATACTCGTGACACTAACATGACGTTTTTGGATATTATATGATATCATTCATTACTTTCAATCAAATTGTAGTACTGTAGTACGCAAGTTCATAATGATTCATTGTTATTTGACCACTTAATGTCAAGATAAATGTCACCTGTACTGCAAAGTTACTAATTAGATTATTATCGTTTACTTTATTTCGAAAACAAATAAAGAACTCACCTATCTCTTGTAATTGCTTGTCTTGCATTGTATATAGACAGTGTATTATGCTATCAAGTAAACAGCAAAACAATGTGTTATAAAACGTAGTTCATATTAAAAGATTTTAATATGTTCAATTTCACTACATTTATTAGCATAGTTGACATTTACAAGACTAATACGGTTACGGCATTTGCCGTATCATTTACCGTAAAACCGTATTAGTGTTAGTAATACCGCATTTACAGTAATATTGCGTCGCTGAGATATCTCAGGTTATAAAAGTAAAATATTGGGAAAAAAAATTGTAATGATAAATTGAAAAGGGCGCAATGAAAGCTTGGAAAGGGACATACTAATAGGCATTCGGCAAATATATGTACCGGGTTGATGCAATGTAGATTCTATAGATTCTACGTAAAATACTAAGTTCAGTGCAGCAGGTGTAGGTTAATCATGTAACCAGGAAACTCAAATTTCTCGTAGTAAATTATATAGTATAAATGTCTACTACTTCAGAAAATTAGTGTCTCTTTATCGGATACAAAAATTAACCAATGAAAGTACGAAAAAAACTCTGAAAATTACAATTTATAAAACACAAGTAATACGTATACAATGCGTATTACCTTTAGCAAAAAGAGTTATAAATTCTAGACTTGCTTATTAATCTTTTTTTCATCTTTGTCGCACCAACCTAGTACACATGTTCTGGATGTTACAGTAACACGGTATTATAGTAATGCCGTTATACCGACCGTAGTTCAGTAATTACGACAAATGATTAGAATAGTAACATTACTTGAAGTTTTGGAGAAATATTTTATTATTTTATATGTAATGGATCAATAGTATCGGTCACTATAGTTATATCAGACAGTAAAAAACATCAATATTTAGGTAAAATTTATTAATTGGGCTTTCAAATTTATAAGTTTACCAGACAATCTCAAAAATTAGATTTAGTAATAAACTTGAAACGTTGACAGCAAGTTTTCTTTGTTACATCGGACTATCTCCCGTAAGTCCGACGGATGTGTTAGCCAATTGATAACAAATGCCGTGTTTATTGCTTAAGTAAAATATATGGATATGTTTATTGCAGTTACGAAAGAGGCAAACGACTAGATATATAAAGACACCAATCAATTGTATAAATGTTACGGTTTTTAGGTCAAGTTAAACTTGACCCAGGTCAAATTAATCTTGACCCAGGTTAAATTAATCTTGACCCAGGTTAAATTGACCGGGGTAAAATCGCCACCCCAAAAAGTTTCGAAAATCATGATATTGTCAATTCATGATTAGATCATGATAATAATATTTATCAATAATTGATTCGGTGAGTGAGTTTTCTTCTTCAATTCTTTAAAGTGAAAAGCGATTGTTAAACGCACAAAAATCCAATAAACACATTATCCTAAAAATATATGTTGATTGCCGTAACCAAATTCCATTAACAATAAACGAAAAAGAATGATCGAAATGAATTATAAAAACTAATCAAGAAAATGCAGTTGAACCAGAAAATATTTGTAGATTTAATTTTTAATGCGCTTCCAGAAGATTATAACTCTGATTATTTATTTGAATCCAGGACGCAGAAACAAAAAATTATTGAAGAAAACAAATAATATTCTAAATACTTAGAAAAACCGTAATTATAATACTTTCTGGCTGTAATAAATATTACGTTTATTGAATTATTCGAAATAAATAAAATTGCTGATCGTTATTATTAAATTTTTTTTGTTTGTTCAAGCAACATGAATTTTTAGTGCTCGATATATTTGTCATGTGATGTTAGAAACTTTTTTGATGGCAATTTTACTAGTAAAATGGATTTCGGTATTACGACTTCGGTGAAATACTATTAGTATTTCGAAAAAATGGGTTTCAGGAAGTTAAACCGGAACCTCTTCATATCCGGATCGATTGTTAATGATTTATTTAGTCTTCATGTGATTTTTATATTTTCTTAACATTCGATAATTACCTCTCATTGCTTCTGCATCATTTGGATTCAACGCTGATGATTTGTATAAATCTAAATGTGAATGTTCATCGTTCGGTAAAGTTTCTACACAACATTTTAATGCTTTTACATTATTTGGATCGATATTTAATGATGCATTTATGTTTAAAAGAGAATGTTCATATCTACCTGCCATATAATAGGTTACCCGCAACTCCTTAACACATTATATTATTTTTATCGATCGTTAATGATTTTTTTCAAATCTGCAAGCGATCTTTTCATTATGCATCTGCATTACTTGGATCGATTTTCAATAAATCATTTAAATATGCAAAAGACTCCTCGTATCTTTCTAATTGATAATAGTATATTACTCTGCGATTTTTTTTAATGCGTTTTCACCTTTTGGATCAATTTTTAATAAATTATTTAAATAATTAAGTGATTCCTTATGTTTCCCATCTTGCAATAAATTGTTCCATGGCATCGCGATGAGTTTGTTTTATGTTAGTACATGTTTATGTAGTCTAAACCGATATTTTAAAAAAACCGACGAACTTAGTCGACTTACGCTATATCGACTTGAAATACTAATAAAGAATATGGGGTTTATAAAATTTGCTAAATAATAAAGTTTTAAACTATGAGATGTGCAACATACTTTTGTTATAGTAAATTAGTACGGTACGAAAACGCAAATTGGGACGGATATGTGGAAATTATGATAGTACGTACGGTTTGTAAAAGAAACAATTCTTCCAAAGCAAAGCTAATTTTCCTATAATCTTACACGAAAAAGAACAATGTTCTCACTTGCCCTAACCCTAAACATAAAAAAAAGGGTTTACTTGAGGATGTGACAAATCATCGGTGTGGTGAGTAAGCACTAGCTAAATACTTATATTAAATAATACTTATTAGCAACACAATAATTCGTCACATCCTCGTGCCAAATGGATAATGGACTTATAAAATTAATTTTTACAAAAAAAACTTATCGCTATGTTAACCGTACGTACTATCAAAATTTTGCTCATTTTCGTACGTCCGTACATATTCGTACAATCGTACAGTACTACTTTACTAACTACCTGTTATATAACAGTATATATGTACGCATGTACGTACTGTACGTATGTACGTTACTACAAACGATGATTAATTTCTTTGTCGATGAATTTAGTTCTAAAAGAAATATTAAATTTGGAGAATGTGCAAATTGCAACCTATATAACACATCATCAGCTTGGTGTCAAACATGCGACCCTCAAAAGATAGTACAAGGATGGACAAGTGGAAATAAAGATGTCGATGATTGTATTAAAGAAATTCAACTTAAAGCTACAGAATACGAAGATGTGATCGAGTGGATTCCTTTTAATAGATTAGTTAATATTCAAAAGAATGGTGATGGATTTTCAGCGACGTGGTTAGATGGAATACGATATCTAAAAGATGAAAGTGATTATGAAAATGGCAAATATGAAAGTGATTATGAAAATGGCAAATATGAATATACACAGTCACGCGCACCGGCAAGCATAATTGCACTTAAAATATTGACAGGAACAACAGATATTCAAAATATTCATAATATTTTAAAAGAAGTGAGTTCATATCATTTTATTATCGTTATTTAATTAATCTACTTAATTTATACTTATGATTGTACTAATTATTATACTTATACGTATTTTATAAGTTTAAAAATCATGTGCAATTAGACAGTCAATTAAAGGGTATACGTGTCTATGGATTAACTCAAAATACAATCACAAATAAATATATACTGGTATTTGATGAATTTAGTTCTAAAAGATACGATTATTATGGAAAATGTGCAAATTGCAAGCGAAATAACACGAATGACGCTTGGTGCCAAACATGCGACCCTCAGAAGACAACACAAGGATGGACAAGTGGGAATAAAGATATAGACGATTGTATTAAAGAATTTCAACTTAAAGCTACTTCTTATGAAGATGTAATCGAATGGATTCCTTTTAATAGATTATGTGATATTAAAAATATTGGCGATAAAGTTTCAGCAACCTGGTTAGATGGAATACGATATACAAAAAGATTATATTTTAGAGAATATACACAGTCACGTATGCTATCGTGTAAAGTGGAGCTTAAAATATTGACACGAGCACAAAGTTTATTAGATAAGTTAAATGAAGTAAGTTAAAATACTTATTAATTAATATAATTAATATGACGCAATATATATACATTATTTTAATATACAGTATATTTACATGCTTAATAAGTTTATGGATTATGTACAGTTAAAGAATAATGATCTTAAAGTATACGGACTAACGCAAAACAGCATAACAAATGAGTATATGTTGGTATTTGATGAATTTCATAACAAAAGGCGTGAAACCTATGGAAAATGTGCAAATTGCATGCGATATAATACATCTCCAGCTTGGTGTCAAACATGTGACCTTCAGAAGGCAATACAAGGATGGACAAGTGGAAATAAGGATATCGACGAGTGCATTAAAGAATTTCAACTTAAAGCTACGAAATATGAAGACGTAATCGAATGGATTCCTTTTAATAGATTATGCAATATTCAAAATGTTGGCGATAAAGTTTTAGCAACCTGGTTAGATGGAATACGATATATAGATTATGATTATGAATATACACAGTCACGTATACCATCATGTAAAGTGAAGCTTAAAATGTTGACACGAACACCAAATAATTTAAAAGTAAGTTTATATTATTTAATTATATCAGACATCAGATTAAGTCATGTAGTTTATTTAATCTGTATTTTTATTTTGTATGTCAATATACTATTAATAATAATAGTCTATTATATATTTAATATAGCTATTAATGAATCGATTAGAGGATAGAAGTATTTATGGTTTAACCCAAAATACAGTCACAAATGAGTATATGTTGGTATTTGATGAATTTTATAATGAAAGAGATGAAGATAATGGAAAATGTGCAAATTGCAAGCGATATAACACATCACCAGCTTGGTGTCAAACATGCGACCCACAGAAGACAACACAAGGATGGACAAGTGGAAATAAGGATATTGACGAGTGCATTATGGAGTTTCAACTTAAAGCTACAACATACGAAAATGTAATCGAATGGATTCCTTTTAATAGTTTAGCTAATATTCAAAATATTGGCGATAAAGTTTTAGCAACCTGGTTAGATGGAATGCGATATGTAAATTGTAAACGTATAGTTTTGAATAACTATAGATATATACGGTCACGTATACCATCATATAAAGTGGAGCTTAAAATATTGACACAATCACGAAATTTAGTAAATGTTTTAAAAGAGGTAAGATTATGCTTATGCTATTTACGTATACTATTTAAGTATACTACTGTATTTACATGTGCTGTACTTTCAAGTTTATTGTTTCTAATCTGTGACACGTATAACGATAACACGTATAATGATAACACGTATAATGATAACACGTATAATGATAACACGTATAATGATAACACACGATAATACGTTACTAAATTAATTTTGTCAAGACATCATCGAGGTTTTAAGTACAAAGGTAGAGCCCGGTAAATAATAAACAATAAACTCGAAAGCCCACAGCATCCATATTATTTATAGCCTTAAATTCTTATATCTTTTATATATTTTATAGTTTAAAAATCTTGTATTATCTGAGTGTCAATCTGAGTGTCAAATAGAGCGTATAAATATTTGTGGATTAACTCAAAGCACTATCACAAATGATTATATCTTAGTATTTACTAAATTTGATAAATTTAGTTCTAAAAGAGATTCCAAATATGGAATATGTGCAAATTGCGAGCGATATAACACATCTTATACTTGGTGTCAAACATGCGATCCTCAGAAGACAACATATGGATGGACAAGTGGAAATAAGGATATCGATGAGTGCATTAAGGAATTTCAACTTAAAGCTACAAAATACGAAAATGTAATCGAATGGATTCCTTTTAATAGTTTAGCTAATATTCAAAATGTTGGCGATACAGTTTTAGCAACGTGGTTAGATGGAATTCGATATACAAAAAAAGTACATAATAAAAATAGATACACACAGTCACGTATGCCATCATGTAAAGTGGAGCTCAAAATATTGACTAGATCGCAAAGTTTATTAGATTTGTTAAAAGAAGTAAGCTAAACTATGAATAATTTATTATTGTCACACTATATATATAGCTTTAATATATATTTGAATTTTAATAAGTTCACAGATTATGTACAGTTAAAGAATAATAAAG